GTAGCTGAGTATGCAAAAGGAGACAAGAGTTTAACATCCTAACCATATAATTTATGTGTGCATCCTTATGCTGTAATGTAAACTTCTACTGAAATAGGGCAAAATGGCAGTTAAGCTTTGGTTGCAATTCTTCAGCCACATAAATTAGCTTTTCCATCTTGTTTTGTTCTAGATATTGCACTATTGCAAAAAACATTCCCTGACTGACAAGTTATTAGTTGCTGTTCACCTGTCAGTTTAATAGAGGAGCAAATCGATGCAAGGGGTATTTTCCAGCACCGAAAAAGTTATTGACATTGGTTAAGTTACGAAATGGCATCTTCGTTTCCCTGACTGACATGTCCCCATCTTCATTCTGTCTTTAAGTCTTACGGCTCGATAAGCACACAGACTTTCATTACCTACCCAAGCTTTTCTTTGGTAGAACCCATTGACTTTCAGGCAGGTATAATTTAAAAGTGAAAGGTTATTTTATAATGTAATGTGCTCATGTGTTTTACAGTGTGTGCTTTCTATACAGTCCTATTTAACATTGAAAATACCAGCATTTTGCTAATTCTGGCATGAGCGAGAGCAATCAGAAGTGACTGGATTGAATGATTTTCTGCATGCCAAGCTAAACATAGCTCACAAATGCACTGAGTGCATGACATTGTTAAATACAAACTGCTGCATTTAAATTAGTTAGAAAGAGGCAGTGTACAGTAGCTATCAATTATTTTCTCACTTTTTTCTTGGCAGGCAGTGCAATGACCGGATCAGGTTATTGTCTTAAAATGCAGTCTCAGGCTTAACTGTTTCATGTCCAAAAGAAGATGGAAGGGAATATAGATTCACCCCAGAAGATCTGTATGGAGATGATCGTACACAGCATAGTATACCAGCAGGCGATAAAATAGCTCTGCTGTATTGATTATTTAGCATAATCCTATATAGCTACTATCACAAGTTAGCCTGCAGTTTCTTGTTTGTGTATTCTTACCTCCTTGCTGCAGTGCTGTTCCTGATCCCTTTCACATGTGTGTTTGTCTGTGCTCACCTATGGGCGTAGTCTGCTGTTCTCTGGGTTTTATTTCCTTCCCTTTCATCACTTCCTGGCCTGCCTCCTTGTTTTCCTGCCTCTATAAGACATGCTCAGTCTAGGCCACTTTGTCTGAGCAACTTCCTAGTTGTCTGAGCTCCTGTGTGTTGCTATCTCCTGTATCCTGCATTGAATTCTCGTGTACCGACCCCGGCTTTGTTCTCTGACTGTGCTTGTTTTCCACCTGTCCTGACCTCAGTTAGTCTATCAGATTTTCGTTTGTCTCCTCTCATTGTACTCTGCTCCCGAGAGCGGTCTCCTCATCCTCAGCTGGGCGTACCCTGGGGCCGCAACCTGGTCCTAACTTGCTGCAAGTCCATCCCCACCATCAGGGGCCCTGGTGAAGAAGCAGGCTGGAGCTTAGACTCTGTGTCCTGGGGAACTCCAAGTTGACTATCTACAAGGGCTCACTATCACAGGTGCTGACAGCTACATCCATATTTTAACCACTTGCTGACTGCCCCATAGCAGATGTACTTCTACAGGGTAGTCGCTCTATGCAAAACCACGCATATATACAGTATGTGATTTTGCATCTCCATGTAGGGGTGCGAGCACGCTGCCCTACCCATGCTGTCATTGGCTCCTGCAGATGTCAATCACGGGGCTTCCAGCCAGAAATTCATGGCCAGGACTTGGTGATCGGGGGATCATCTGACAGGGGAGAGATCTGTGTGTAAAGAACACAGATCTCTTTCCTGTCAGCGGGGACATGCTGCTTCCTATCTCTCTGCAAAGCACAGAGATAGAAAGCAGCATGTCCTCTAGTAAAACACTACACAGTAAGCACATAACAGTACACAGTTAACTCTTTGATCGCCCCAGATGTTAACTCCTTCCTGACCAGTGTCATTAGTACAGTGTCAGTGCTTTTTATTAACACTGATCACTGTATCAGTGTCACTAGAGATGTCAGTGGCAGTTAGTCAGTTCCCACCCAGTGTCAGTTAGTTTCAGAATGCCCACCATCCCATAGTCTCACAGTCCCTCAACCCCACAGTCCTGCTGTTTGCCACCAATACACCAAGAAATCCAGTATGTTTGTAGGCGCTATAACTTTCAGGTAAGCCAATTATTATACACTTATTGGGATTTTTTTTTCCAAAGACATATAGCAGAATACATTTGGCCTAAATTTATGAAGAAATAGTATTTTTTTTTCGTTTATTGGATATGTTTTATAGCAAAAAGTAAAAAAATATTGTTTTTCTTTTCAAAATTGTTGGTCTTTTTTTTGTTTATAGAGCAAAAAATAAAAAACGCATGATAAAATACCACCAAAAGAAATCTGTATTTGTAGGGAAATAAATGACATAAATTTATGTGCAGCGTTGCATGACTGCACAATTGTCAGTTAAAGTAATGCAGTGCCGAAAAAATGGCCTGGTCAAGGAGGGTACATTTTTCAGAGGGCAAGTGGTTAGTGACATGGCGGTTTTAGGAGAAACCAAAGAGAGTTCTGATGGATGGACGATCTCTGAAGGGTTGCATACTTTGGGAGTAGAATTGTCATTATTGGAGTGGGGTTCCACATGGAGACAGGAGAGGTGCACAGTATAATTACACTCTCCTTTTATGAATGTCTTACTCTGGAACTTTAGTTTTAGCACAGTGTTTCATAAACTATGGGTTGGGACCCAAACTGGGTTATGGACATGTTTACAATAAGTTCGCCTCTTGACAGTATAGCCTAGTTTGTCTAAGCATGAAATCTGTGCATCAGTGTCAAGTGATGTAGCACACTGACTCTGACTGACATGCATGAGTAGTAGAGCTGAACTGCTCTGGGTTTGGTTCTAAAGAGTTTTTTTCATTCTGAACACTCTGCTCATTCTTTTGTATGAGGAAATAAAGCAAGTGTGAGACAGGGGGCAGGGGGCAGAGGGAATTACACAGAAAATGTCTGTTCTCAACTGTATAGGGACCGTAAGAGATTCTGCTTTAAACAATTGGGTATATCCTTGGGGATTTATTTTCGTGTCCATGAATATATTTTCTTTTTGAATCATAATTTTTGCTTTATTATTAAATATATTAGCATTTCATTTTGCTTCTTTACAAATGAGAAAACATTGAGAACTGCACATTTTAATATGCTGCCATTTTTTGTATGACTTTGCAATTTGGGTAATAATTCTCTTCTTGGGCTTTGTGTCTTTTTTTTTTATATTCAAATATTTAGGAGCCCCCAGTATAATGGCAGGACCACTTGAACATCCTACTCAGGCCAAAACTTTACATTTCCTTTTAGATAAAGTAGGGAATAGTTGGAGCCTTGTTCAGGTTTTCTTGCTATCTGTAAAGTTCCAACATTGCCAGAGCATTTTGTAAAGCAATAATGGCACATTTATTGTCTACAAAAGATGCAATGTATTGGACCACCAAGGATCCTTTTCCTCAAGTAACAGTGAAGAAGAGGGTGCTCATTGGCTCCAAAACATCACAAAAATGTCTCTTTTGTGCTTTACAGTATACAGTATCAGGTGCTGATTTTGTTTTGTAGTTTGATCTTGGTTTTGTTCTGCTTTTCACTTTAGCACATGCCAGGGGTTTGAGTGTTGTAAAGTGTGCACTGGATGAACATGATTAGGTCTATAGGGAGATTTTTTTTTCTCACGTGTGGTTAGGACAAGAAATGGTGATAAATCTTTCCAAAGGAGACACAAACAAAAACATATGTTTAGGAGACTGAGGAAGGGTTGGAACGTCTGATAATGTTTTTGCTGTCTTTTCCTATACTGTTATGATGATCCCTCTTATTTTTTGTACAGACATCACAGGAACAGGACTTGGGGGGCATCTCCCAGTGGGGTCACAGACAGTAATGAAACCTTACAAACTGTTCCTAATTTTATCCATAACAACATATTAAAAAATGGCTTTAATTCAGTAGTGTAAAGAACAATGACTATCTTTAAAATATTGCCAGACACAACAACTAATCTGAAATCATTTTAATGACGTTACTTCAGAAAGCTAACACTGACTGATGTTTTCAAATTTTCATTGATTCTAGCATCACTCATCACAGAGAAGATCGAGGGAAAGGCTGTTCCTTTTTCTTCTCTGTGGACAGCCAACCTGACCGCTTACAGTGGTGATGGGTTGTTACAGAAGGAGCCAGCTGTAGAGACACTTGGATCACTTTTACCTGCCATCTCTAAAAAATGACACCAGGATCATGGCTGTAGCTACAGCCATTATCCTGGTATAACCACTTGCTGTCCAGGACTTTTATAAACCGTATGTATGATGGAAGCCAAGTGGTTAAAGGCAGTCACATTTCCTTAAAGATAAACAATCACAAGAGAAGCCCAGGCTTGTACAAGGCCCTTAAAGACCCCCTGTCTGTACCAACTACAGCAAAATCAGAAAGTGCAACCGCTTAGATCAATTTATTACTTGTAGGGGAAAGGTGGGGAAATTTACTACTTCATTTTATTTTTTTGCAGGTAGTCCTTAGATCTTTAAGTGTCCCCCATGCAATTTAGCCATTTCAACCTTGAATTTTTTTCTTCCCTTTGGGATCTTTAGCCTCAACTCTGCTTTATGACATGGATGCATATGATGAGCCAAGAGAGATATGATTAGCCAATTATCACTGCTGCATCTCATCTCTTCCTTTTCCCTTTCATAATTAAGTGATTTTGTTTAACCACTAGCCTACAGGGCACTTATACCCCCTTCAGGCATCTTTGATGGGCACTGAAAGGCAGCACTCATATATGGCACTGATAGGTGGCACTGATAGGTGGCACTGATAGTCGGCACTGACTGGCGCTGATAGGCTGCACGGACTGGCACTGTTAGGTGGCGCTGACTGGCACTGTTAGGCGGCACTGATAGGCAGCACCGACGGGCACTGATAGGCGGCACTGACTGGCACTGATAGACGGTGCTGACTGGCACTGATAGGTGGCACTGATTGGCATTGATAGGTGGCACTGATTGGCATTGATAGGTGGCACTGACTGGCACTGATGGGTTACACTGAAAGGCAGCTCAGATGGGCACTGATATGTGGCATTGATGTGGCACTGATGGGCACTTAAATGTGGCACTGATGTGGCACTGATGGGCACTGGCAGGTGGCATGGATGAGCACTAGAGCTGGCACTGATGGACACTGACAGGTGGCGCTGCTGGGGCTACACAGATCATCAGGGCACACTGATCATCAGTGCTCAGATGATCTGTATACATGTCCCCTCCGAGGAATGCCGATTACTGGATCTCCTTTCCTCACAAGCTGTCAGCGTGACAGCTCGTGGGGAGAGAAATGCCGATAACCGGTATTTCCCTATTTACATGTGATCAGCTGTGATTGGAAACAGCTGATCACATGACCGAGTCGACATCTTCGGCTCTTTCCGTGGGACACAGCGCACCGCCGATTGCCGCACTGCGCACTCCGGGAGCCGCGCGTGCGCAATGAGAATGAGAGGACATCATATGACATCTTCCCAGAATGAGAGAACCACCTTCTGTCCATCATATTACTATATGGCGGGCAGGAGGCGGTTAAACAATGTTTAATGTGATCATATAACCCATGAAGCCAAATAGCCTGTACATCCTGCCTGGGTGGCAATAAATGCCTGGGTGCAGTACAGAGAATCATGCATGAATATTCTAAGTGGTAGCTGGGAAAGTGATATTCTGGTGTTCCCACCAGAAAGTTTTATCTTCAGTTCCTTCAACAATGTCCATCTCTCACAGGGAAAGACAGTGAAAAAGGGTCTACCAAATGGAAGCATGAATGGGAACAGCAGCACAAACCTGACAGAGGTATTAGCCTTATGCCACTCTATACAAAACAACAGAAAACTATTTTGGCTAGAATACTACCTTAAAGTAAATCTTTAAAGTGGGTACACTCTTTACCAGTTAGTAGTCAGCTCAGAATCATGGTCTTTTATTTGCATTATCGAGCTCTTAGAATTGTGGGGGTTTTCTGTGCTTTACAAGGGACATAAAACAATAAACTCCTGGGGGTGCCTGCTGACTGGCAGTGCAGAAGTGGCACTTACTGTATGTTAGTATTGTCAGATTAATAAAAGTTTTTCAGTTGCTATGGGTTACTGCACATCAGCACCTATTTTGAACTGCTACACTGAATAAAGCCTTTGGATAAATATTATGATGTTCTGGAGTCATGGACTTCACATTTTTTAGCATGAAAAATTGAGATTGTTATTTTGGCTCCAGCCATACATCAATAATACATATTTTTTTTCATATTCTTGTGTCTCTCTCTAGGTAATACATTGAGAAATGCTGAACTGTTTTATTTTTTAGGTCAAAACATTCACCAAATTGTCAGTTTAAAAAGATAGAAAGTCTTATGTGTCTGATGTGATTCTGGAGATTGGTTGGTCAATTTACAGATGGTAAGGAAAGAAAAAAAAAAACTGTATTTGGCGACAGGAAGAGAAAATGGGGTCATTTATCCACTGTTCAGCGACATTTTGTCTGGCAAAACACTCTCTTTGGATGACATTTGCAAACATCCAGAATGCCTGCTAAATTTTCAGGGTTGATCAGTGAATCCTAAGCAGAAAATGAAAGTGAGCATTCTGGGTAATGTGATTTAAAATATGTATTCCCAGCAAGGTATAACAGCAGTATTTACACTCTGCACAGACAAAAGATACATTTATCACAGATATTAGCATTTAAATAACATTGGATAATGCACTTTCAAGTGTTACGGTCTGACTTTTTCTACATCTGATGAATTAAGTAATCTTCTATCGGTTGATTGACATTAGACCGCTAAAATTATCTTTTTCAAATAAGCATACATTTCCGAATGTTGATGTGCAGAAGGATTAGTTGTGTGATGCCCTCAGACTGAAGTGTAAGGGAAGTAAGGAAAGCTTCCATGACCTAATTAGTCTCTGCTCCAATTTATGCAAACCCAAATATATCCAGACGATGATCCCTTTCAATTCATGCTTGAAATATGTAATTATGCTCTCAATGGCAATGACAGTACAGGACATATTTAAAACAAAGCAAAACACGAAAATATGTTGTTTTTTACGCAAGGCATATAGTTCAAATTTATAGTTCACTTATAGCATTAAAATATGCTTGTATTGAACAACAATTGGATTGTGTGCCTAAAAGATAGAAATAAAAGTGTTTGTGTTGCCCATATCCATCAATCAAATTACAACTAATTTTGTCTAGTCATGAGTGTGAATAAATTGAATAATTAATTGTGTTGCCATGGGAAACAGGCTTCTTTATCTTCTTAAATTCTTATAAAGAATACTGTGATATCTTAAGCTGGGTACACACGGTTTGAATATCGGCCGGTTCAGCAGGAACCGGCTGACATTTGAACCATGTGTACAGCTTTCCTTCTGACAGAAGTGGATCTAAAGATCAGCTTTTGTCAAAGGGACATACTGGAAAACCAGCAACTGATCAAACAATGGCTGTGAGCACTGATTAGTCTGTTTTAGCTGGGGGGGTCCCCCGTCAGAACACAAAGGCATAGCGGGAGAGATCACTGTACTAACATTGCTCAGTTAATACAGCAATCTCTCAGGTTTTTTTATTCAGCCCACTGTGTTGAACAGAAAAAAATGGAATGTGTGTACCAGGGATTATATATAAAACCTTTAAATCTGGGCTCTTGCCAGATGCCCCACAAACAATACCCCCCCCCCCCCTACACACATACACTCTAAGTGCTGCAGCAATTCAAGAAAAAAATCAAATGCCCCATTTACAAGTAAATCCATGGTCACGTGGTACATACATGTGTCATTCATGGTCACATGCTGTCTACATGTGCAGAGACTGAAAAAAAATGGTCCTTGGCTGAGCTAAGGTGTTTAAAGGGTTTTTTTCTAGCAGTTTTTAAAGCGTGGGAATTAGGTGGGAGGAATAGTTTACATTTGCACAAGGCTAATAGACAACAATAAAAAGTCGACAGAGGTTCTAGCATCCTTCTACTTTACAAAAAATAATGACATCTCTATGGGGTTGATTTACTAAATATGCTGTGCATTGCAAGTGCACTCCAAGTCTGCTGCAAGTGTACTTGGAAGTGCACTCCAAGTTCACTGAAAGTGCAGTTGCTCTAGATCTGATGGGAACATGCAAGGAATATACAAAAACCAGCATGTTTGCTTGCACGTGATTGGAGGAAAGAAATCAGCAGGGCTTCACCTCATTCCAGAACTTCCCCTCGGATCTAAAGCAACTGCACTTGAAGTGCATTCATAGGTGCACTTGCAGTGCACAGTATATTTACCTTTAGTAAATAAACTCCCTTGTGTTGTTGTCAGAGAGATTTCCACCTAACTTGCTCTCTGGGGGACAATGCTTTTTCATCAGATAGGAATTGAGGAATCTCTTCAATTGGAATTTTCGAAGGCAGTAAGACCTGATTCTAATCTTTTCCCACTCTACTCAAAAACTATAAGAAAAAGTTTGGCCATAGATTCACTTTAATACCAAAAGGTCCATCATATTTGGGAATGAATTGTCCTAGGTATTGTCTATGTCTGTTGCACGTTTTAGCAGCCAGTAGGATGGACGAGAGGACACAAAATTTTAAAGTTCCATGTGAAACCTTGGACTTTACCATAGTTAAAATGTAAGTGTGCCTTTATACTAAAACCCTATGGCGTATTCCCTACTCCTATCTATTATACCTATAATAGCTGTTGTAAGGATAGATAGTTAGCCCTCAGATGCAGTGCCCAGGTGCCTGCTCTGCAAGTATATAAGAAACAAAAAGAGGGCGCATGGGCCTAGTGCATTACCTTTAAAAATGAGATGTATTTATAAATAGTAAAATATTCACAAGAGAAATAAAATCAGATCAAATGTTAAGCATGTCACAAAGGATGCAATGTGGTCCAAAAAAACCTGAAGCTGGTCTAGTGGGGGACTCTGAACCTTTGGATAGCTGGTGGCTGACGTTTTTCGAGGTTGTACCTCTTTCTCAGAGCCACTATAAAGCTTCCATATTCATCTCTGAGTGAATAAACTGAATAAAGTTCAGTTGCTTTACATCCGAGGGGAAGCTCTGAAATGAGGCGAAGCTCTGCTGATTTCTTTCATCCAATCATGTGCAAGTAAAAATGTTGTTTTTTTTTTTTTTACTTGCATGTTCAACTCAGATCTAGAGTAACTGCACTTTTAGTGCACTTGGAGTGCACCTCAAAGTGCACTTGGAGTGCCCTTGCAGTGCACAGCCTATTATATCAATCCCTGTGTAAAGTGGTTCCATGCTGCATCTGAAGTCTTTCTTTAGCTATAATAGGTAGAATGGACATGGGGGAACTGTACAAGGTTTTTGCTGTAAACTTGCACCTGTATTTTGACTAAATTATAGGAATTTGATTGTTCTCAGAATATTAAGCATGAAAGTTCATGATTAGTTAAAATACTCAGTTGCACTATCAATACAATAAGCAGTGACTTTTTCCAATTTAGGGAAATTATGATACAAATGGTGGTTGAGCTTCTATCTCTTCCTGCACCATACACTTAAGGATCAAGTGTGGCCAAAATTGGAAAGAATGTATTTATTGCTAAGTGTTGCATGAATGTTGAAATGAAGTAATTACAATGCAGGACAACTTCACTCTCTTGTCACAAATATTGAACATTTTGCTTTAGTATATGATTTGCTTTGTAATTGCCTTAGTTAAAAGTAGCTGAGTGATTGTCAGTTCCAATAATTGAAAATTAAGTGGTAATATTGTGTAACACGGCTAATAATATTCTTCTGCAGCGGTAAGGCCTCTTGATAAATATTATACACACGTTACATACTCATATCTCAGAGCACCTGATAATGTGAAAGGCCCCAAATCCCAGTCTTGTGCTTGTTGTCACTGCCATCTGCCAATCATGATGACACTAACTGTATCACATCTGAGTCATGAATTCATATGCAGGTAAAGAGGGACTTCAAGGGCATAGCTTAGCTTTGATCATGATTGTCTAACAATTTTTATTAAGATTTTTATTGTCTGAAATAGCCAAGGTGTACTATGTTAAACCCAAACAAATGTTGCCTTTCACATGGTCCAGCATGAGATCAGCATGAGATATACAGCATGCAATACAGATTAAATTCTAAGTGCACTAAATAAAATGAATATTTTAAGGGGTATATGCAACGTGTTACTATATATACTTCCACAGGCCTTAAAGTAGCTGCAAACCTAATTATATCACATTTAGTTTTCTATAACAGTGTTTATCGTAAAAAAATTAAATCTTTTTAAATAAATATACAGTGCTCAAAAAAATTAAAGGAACACATCAGACCTCAATTGGGAAAAATATCA